ATTATATCTACACAATGATTGTTGTGGGGCTTTTGGCAATCCATTGTGTAGTGTATATCCTATATTTTTAACCTTATTTTATTTGCATAGAATAATAAAGGTGGGGTCCAGTTAACAGTTAGAAAACTCCGAGAACCTAAATTAGATGAAAGGAGAAGTTTGTGGGGTCACTTTTGTTTATTACTCCCTCCGGTCCAAATAAGTAGTATTTTTAGGTTCCGTTTTTCCTTTATTGGTCCGTAAACTAAAGTAGATTTTTACTAAGATTTTAAGTAATAGAATTAATTATTTTTTTACCGTTTTGTTCCTTTACGAGTTAAAGTAAGTGTTGGTAAGTATGTGTTAGGTAGTGTTATGTGAGATAGTATAGATTAATATGTAGTATTACTATTGTCTNGTATTAATTATAGTAATTATTTATATGTTTTTATGAGTGGCAGTGGGGTCCAGATATCTGCACAAAGCAAAATAAGAAAAAGCTATTGCCCAAAGCTTTGACAATAATAATAGCTTTATGAAAGCAACCCTCCACCTACTCTCCTTTATCTACCTTTTTTTTTTAATATTCTTTTCTTTTTTTTCTCTTTCTCTCTTTTCCTCAATTGTGGTATCGGAATTGAGATTTGCAAGTTTTTGTCTATTGTAAAATTTGTGTTTTCACAGACCTTAGAAGAGGATGAAATGAACTTTTTTGCCAAAGACCACAACAAAAAGAAATCATTGAACATATTTAGCTTTTGAAAATTTCAGTCCTCCATTTATCCCACCTTTTTTCTTTTTTTCTATTTTTGCTTATAACAGGAGGGTATGAAGGTCGAGAATTAGGATCGAAGGTTAGTAGGTAGTCGAACGTATTTCTTTTTTATATCAGCTGTTTTAGGGCCTGTTTGGCCATAAGAAATTTTTTGCTTTTTTCCGCAATTTTTTTATTTTTTTCGGAATTGGTGTTTGACCATGAAAATTTCAAATTTCACTTGAAGATGAATTTCGAAATTTTTCGAAAACTTAAAAACTCCAAAAAGCTATTTTTCAAAATTTTCACTTCAAATCACTCACAAAAATTAAAAATAGCTCCAAATTGTGTTCATGTCCAAACACAACTCTAATTTACAATACCATTTTCACTTGAATTTTTTTGTTTTTACTTTTTTCAGAGTTACACAATTTTTATGTCCAAACTTCCACTTAGTATTATTTTCGTATTTTCTTATTTTTTTAATTTTTATTACGACCAATTATTTCTTTTGCTTTGGTTACTTTATTATCTTCCTGTTGTTACTGCTTCTTTTTTTCATAGCTTCTCCATTACCGTATTTTTTTCAATATTAATGTGATTATACTTTTCTTTCTTAAGCCAAGGGTCTATCGGTAACAACCTCTCTACCTTCATAAAGATAGGGGTAAGGTCTGCAAACACATTGCTTTCCCCAGATCTCACTTATAAAATTACACTAAATTTATTATTGTTGTTACTGTAATGAATTTTCTTTGTCATTGAACTTATTACAAAGAATTTGTGAAAATTCCCGTTTAGTTTTTCATTTTCCCTTGTTTTCCTCGTGGTCTTTTGAAGTCTTAAGTGAATAGGAAAAGATCTATAACTCATATATGATGTTCACATGAAGCAATTAATATGACATATTTTGTAATGTATATTTCTCTTTTATCTCTTAATTAATCATGTACATAAATGTGGTTCGATGTTAACACATGTTGTGACAAATTTTTTTTTTGAGAGATTTGTGGTGTGTTAAATATTGCATTTTGACTAGGTATTTATAATAACTACATCTTTATATTAAATTTTTAGATCAATTAATTTGTGCATTTTGCTACTGAGATGAAGTGCTAAGCACAATATGCCAAATAATAGAGACCAAGATGAGTAGTGTTTATTTTTTTTAAATAATCCTACTAAGAAAATAGTCATATGAGAAAATAAAGTTGAAACTCTAAGTTTATAAATTATAATAGTAATTATCTATACCTAAGTAGTACTCATTTTCACTTTATGAATTTCAAAATTATCTCATTAAGGCTCCAAATCTTTTTTTTTCTAGCCTTTAGTCCTCTCAATAAGGACTTTTTAACAAACTCGAAAATAAATAATTCTAAATTTTCATGGGATGTGAACTGTGAAGTGGGGTCAAATCCATAATACTGTGATTGTAATACTATGTTGATAATTTAGAATATTCGTTAGATTAGGGTAAATTTTTTAAAATGCACATATTCCAAGATTGTACCTTAATAGAGCATTGAAAAGTTGAAGGCCCCTACCTCCTTTATTTCAAGTTTTTGCAAAAATTTATTAGGTGTTTGGACATAAAAATTACTATAATTTTTGAAAAAACAAGTATATGGAGTTAAGTTGAAAATGATATATTTGAATTTGAAATTATGTTTGAACATGCATTTCACTTAAAAAAAGATTGCACTTTTATGAGTTAAATTATTTTTTTTTTTTTGAAAACGTGGTCAAAACCACTTTCTTATTTTTGAAAAACTCATTTTTAAAAACTTGCAAAATTTCATGGACAACACATTTTTTAAAGAAAAAAAATCCGAAAAAAGAATTTTTTTTTAATGGACAAACTGATCCTAAGTTTATTTTTCTGAAAATTTTCCAACTTTCTAAAAACTCAAAAGCTTGTGAAAAAACTATTTGTAAACTACAAAAAAAAACATTGCAAACTTTAGTTTCTTGAAACATTTCAAACATAATTTAGGAAGAATAAAATTATTTTCATCGACGAAACAAAAACCATATAGAAAACCGATACATGAAAATGTTCGCAACGCAATAAATTTGAGTCATTAAAAGGAGATAGATAATCTGTTAATGTCAATCAAATTACCCAGAATGTGTAAATTTTATAAAGTTCAGCATATACAATTTGAATTCTCTATATTCCTATTTTACGAATTATTACTGCTATAGTTCAGGAGCACTATATTGTGCTAAAAAACAGGACCATTTTGTATTTATCTGTTAAAATAATGGGGTCTCTAGTGTGTTAGATATATAATGTGGTCCTGATTTTAAACTAAGGTCACATCCTTATAGTTCTTTCTTCAACTGCCAACCCCACTTCTCCACCCTTTATAATTTATTTTATTTTCAATTTTTAATTTAATCGGTATTCTGAATTATTATAAATCGATACTCTAATCAGCGTTAATTTTAAACAAAACATGATTTTTGACTGATTGTCATTATTTGCGCCCTCAGAGTAAGAACATCAACTCCCTTTTCTGTATAACTATATGGAATTCAGTTCGACTAATTCAAATTCATCCCGCGTATGATCTATTAAAAGGGAAACACTTCCTATCAGAGCTTCTCTATTTTAAAAGGATATAATATTTTCACCCGTCCACTACATCCCTTGATAATAGGACAACATCAACAAACCCAGTATAATTTCATAAATGGGGTCTGGTCGTCTGGACATCCCTTGATAATAGTAAAAAAAATTGTTACTAAGGAGGAGTTGATAATACGGTTCAAAAGAATTTAAGAGCCGTTAGAACATTGTAAAACACTTATTATATACATATACTTGTTAAGTTATAGAATCTTTACACAAATGACCGATAGAGAGAGAATGTAGAGAGAGAGGCTCTAGCGAAAGTTGATCACGGCAGCTAACCTACGCCGATCACAATGACTCACCGGAATACTCACCTTCCCCTCCCTACACAATCATCTCTTCAAGTAGATAATAGGAATCGAATGATTACTCCTGAAACAGGTATTGCCCAGAAATTGGCCCCAATTCAACTGTTTGGATGCCAAGCATGTGGAGTGCCCCTACTGTCATGCAAGCTCCACCGGAGAAGGAGGAAATTCAAGTAACGGATCCAGGATTGCTGATAGCAGCGAGGAAATTAACCTACTCAGCTGTGTCTCAGAGTACAAATCAGACCATGGCTGAGGTAGTGAAAGGAAACAGAGTTAGAACACAAGGCATGCAGCTGAAGTTCTATCCTCCGGTGGTTAAGGACGGAGTGAAAGTGGCCAAGCTGAACCCAAAAGAGATAGAGGAACAGTGTAAGAGATGGAAATCACCCTTAATTGGATATGTCCTAGGAGGAAACCCTTCGTTCAAGGAAATGCTCAAATTCATCTATGGAGTGTGGAACTTAGTGACGACACCAACAGTATTTCTTCATGACGATGGTTATTTTATTTTTCGCTTTGAATCTATGGAGGATAAAATTGAGATTATTCAAAATGGACCTTATACCTTCAATAATAGACCCATGGTCTTGAAGGATTGGGATCCTGATTTTCAGATTCAAAACGAGTCTATGAGCATTGTTCCTATATGGATTAACCTCCCCGGGCTACCTGTCCATTGTTGGGCTGAGGAGAACCTAGGTCGAATTGCCAGTCTATTAGGCAAACCTATTTGCACTGATAAGCTTACAGCCCAATGTGAAAGAATTTCATATGCTAGGATCCTTGTTGAAATGGATATCACACAACCACTACCAGATGGAGTAACCATTGAGAATCCAGATGGAAGTAGCTGGGAGCAAAGAGTGGAATTTGAGTGCAAGCCAAAACTGTGTATCGATTGCAATAAGTTTGGGCATAGTACTGGTAATTACCAACAAGACATACAACAGGAGGATGAACTAAAACCGCATAAAAGGAAAAGGAAGAAGAAGAAAAGAATGGAATGGAAGCCAAAGCCAAATGACAAAGGAAATAATGGAAAGGATGTTTTGCCACAGGACGATGCTGAACAACACGAACCAATAGTAGAGGTAAAAGTGACTAATCGAGGAAAGCAAGCTGTGGTTATTCAAGGATCAGCTGGCAAGAAGACCCATAGAGATATAAACTATGAGGAGCTAGCTAGAAGGAATACATTTGCACCCTTGACAATCCTGGAAAGACCACCAAACAATAGTCAACAAGCAGCATCTTCTAGTAGTGGTGAAGCTCAAAATGCAGCTGAGGGAAACAGTCCTATTCATCAGAACCCTCCATGATCATTGTCTCTTGGAATATAAGAGGACTGAATAAGTCCTACAAGCAACGAGAATTCAAAAAGTTCTTGTTGCTGAATAAAGTAGATTTAATAGCTTGCCTAGAGACAAGAGTTAAACAACAAAGTGCTAAAGAAATTCAGAGGAAGGTTGGTGTAGATTGGAAATTCACAGACAACTATACCTATGCACCAAATGGAAGAATCTGGATAGGATGGAAAGTGGCAAATGTTAAAGTCATAGTATTGGATTGTTCTGATCAGATGATACACTGTTGTGTCACTGATAATAATTCATCATTTTCCAGTTATATAACTTTTGTATATGGATTGCACACTATTCATGATAGAGCCTCACTATGGAGAAGTCTGAGGAACATACAGACTAATGGACCTTGGCTTATAATAGGTGATTTCAATAGTGTGCTACATGTGGACGATAGACTGAATGGGATCCCTGTTCATCAAGCAGAGACAACTGACTTTCAAAGTTGTATTGATGACTTTGGGGTGCGGCAAATCACTAAGAGAGGCTGCAAATTCTCATGGAGTAACAAGAGGGATGCAGACATCAGAATATATAGCCATATAGACTGGGCATTTGGGAATGCTGACTGGTTTCAACAATATAATGGTGTGGAAGCTATCTACATGCTGTCAGGCTGCTTAGGTCATTCATCTATCATGATAACCACAGAAGTTAACAGGGTAAAAGTGAAAAAACCTTTTAGACTCCTGTATACAGTGATGAAGCTACAAGAATATAAGGAGGTCGTGCAGAATACATGGGGTCAACAGATCCAAGGTTACACAATGTACTCAATATGGAGGAAGTTAAAGCTAGTGGAGATGCAGACTAGAAGCCTCCAACAGGAACACTCTTCAGTTGATAAGAAACTATTTCAACTGAGGGAAACACTCAAGGAGGTACAGGGCAAGCTTAATGAAGACCACTTTAATAACTCACTGATTGAAGAGGAAAGAAGGACACTGTGGCTTATAGAGAAATGGGAAGCAGTACAGGAACAAATATTGAGACAGAAATCAAGGGCCACATGGATCAAGCTAGGTGACTGCAATTCCAAATATTTCCATGCTTACATGGAGCCAGACAAGCAAGGAACAAAGTTACCTGCATCTACAATGACCAACATATCAAAATATCATAGCCTAAACATATACAACTGGAGTTCACTCAGTTTTTTAGCACCTACTGGGTACAACAGCCACTGAATTACGAGGTATTGATATTAGTATAATCAGGAATGGACCACGCCTAACCATGAACCAGCAACAACAGCTCTTAAAGCCTGTAACATCTGAGGAAATAGCTCATATTATGCAAAACCTCCCTAGTGACAAGGCACCTGGCATAGATGGATATCCTACTGAGTTTTTTAGAGAATTCTGGCCAATTATTGGAAAGGAAGTCACAGAAGCAGTGCTGAAGTTCTTTGAGACTGGTAAACTGTTGAAAGAAATCAACTGCACAGCAGTCACATTGATTCCTAAGGTTCAAAATCCCACTTATGTTTTAGGCCTATAGCCTGATGCTATACTCTTTATAAAATCATTGACAAGGTTCTAACAACTAGACTTAAATTAGTTGTTGACCTGTTGGTAGGGCCTTCACTATCTTCATTCATTGAAGGCAGGAACATTCTTGACAATGTTATAATGGCACATGAGTTGATCAAGGGATACACTCAGAAAGCAGTCTCCCCCAGATGCATGATCAAGGTTGATATAAGAAAGCATATGACTCAGTAGAATGGAGCTTCCTAAACGCAGTATTACTAGAGTTTGGGATCCCCTATAGACTGGTAACTCTAATCATGGAATGTGTAACAACTGTTAGTTACACATTATTGCTTAATGGTGGCTTAACTCACAGAATTGAAGCAAAAAAAGGGTTAAGGCAGGGAGACCCCATGTCTCCATACTTGTTTGTGCTGGCAATGGAATACTTGAATAGATCTTTAAAGACACTCATCTAAAATTCTAACTTCAACTTCCACCCTAAGTGTTCAAGGCTACAAGTTCTTCACATTTGCTTTGCTGATGATCTACTGATGTGTTGTAGGGCAGATGACACTTCCATGAAGCTAATGATAGAAGCATTTGAACACTTCTTTGTTGTTTCTGGGCTCAAAGCGAACCTGGATAAGATTTCCTTATACATAGCAGGGGTGCCTTTGGAGTTCAAAGAAAAAATGATAGCTGAACTGTATTTGACTCTAGGTACTCTTCCATTCAAGTACCTTGGAGCTCCTCTATCCACAAGGAAGCTCAATATCCATCAGTGCATGCCATTAGTTGAGAAGATTGTAGATAGAATCAGAAGCTGGACCTCAAAGTTCTTATCATATGCTGGCAGGCTCCAACTCATTAAGAGTGTCTTGTTTGAAATGCAAACCTATTGGGCGCAGGTATTTTTAATTCCAAAGAAGGTTATCAAGATAGTTAATAGCATATGCAGAAGTTATCTATGGAGTGGAGTACATGATTCTAATAGAGCTCCAGTTTTCTGGGAAAGTCTATGCAAACCAAAAGCTGTTGGGGGTCTAAGCATCATCAATTATGAATTGTGGAATAAGGCTGCTTTAACCAAACTCCTACGGGCTATAATGGCAAAGAAAGATAAACTATGGTTTAGGTGGATTCATAGTCACCATATAAAACATAATGATGTTGCTACCATGAATACTCCAAAGCAAGCCAGCTGGCTAGTGAGAAAAATATTCACTGCCAGAGAGTGGTGGACATCTGATCTAACAATGATAAACTCCTTTGTGGTTGATGGAAAATATAGTATCAAGAAGGCCTATATACATGCTATGCCAAGTTACCCCAAAGTTCAATGGAAGTCACTCATTATGTTGCTAGGAATGATGCCTAAACACCAATTTACACTCTGGATGGCAGTGCAACAAAGGTTAGCTACAGTAGACAAGCTCACAAAATGGGGAATTCAGGTGCCCCAATCATGTGTGCTATGCGAAAGAGATATTGAAGAAACACATGGCTACCTATTCTTTGAATGTCAATACTCAAAGAGCATGTGGAAAGAAATGGTGACATGGCTAAGGTAACAAAGGAACATCACAAAATGGGAATCTGAAGTACATCAATGCCAGAAACCCAAGAAGAACAATCCTGGAAATTATATTTGCAGCAGTGGTGTATCACATCTGGATGGAAAGAAATAGCAGAAGATTTCTAAACCAGAAAAGAGAAGCCAAGGACAGAGCTAAAGACATTACAATTCAAATGCATATAGCAGGTCAACAAAAATGTAAATGGGGACCTATATTGAATACACTGAATAGTTATCCTAGTTGTAGTTTATAGCAAATAGGATAAAGGAAGACCACATTTTCTTAAGTGGTCTTGGATAGGCAACAGATTGCTTGTATAGTTTTTATTTTGGTTACCTTTGAGACCTGCTACTAGAGTCAAAATAGTGCAGGTGGTGTATATTGAAAATGGTTGAAATAAATTTTTTACTTTCGACCAAAAAAAAAATACTAGATTTTCCATCATGTTCTGTTTGTTTAGATGTGGACCTTTTTATATCATCGGGTATTTCGTATTCAAAATTTACTAACCCAATTAATTTGTATACATATCAAATAAATTCTTACAAAAAAGTTCTATATTTTTGGTACTCGAATCTCGAGATAATTAATTAAGGGTGAATAGATCCCGATCGTGTCACTATATTCCCGGGTTTTGGACTTACCAAACGTCAAATTGAGTCTTAATAGGCGTTTGGATATGAATTCCAATTTATTTATTTTTTCAAATTTGGAATTTCACTAAAATTTGAATTGAAGATGAAGTTGTGTTTGGTTATAATTTTTGCAACATATTTGGATGTCTTTTTTTTCAAAACCATGAAACATAATTTGTACCCCACAACTTGTAAAAAACATCAAAACTACCCCAATTTGATTATCCTACTTGAAATAAACAATCAAATGTTATTGTTTAACTGTTATCATATTCTGCTTTACTGCATTATACAGAAGATGCAAAGTCAATATCACATTTTCTAATTCTACTAACAAACAGAAAAGGTGCAAAAGCAGGCATAGCCACATATTTCTCATAAGTCATAACCATATAATCAAACTTCTAGTAGGCAGAGTTCAAGTATCAACTAGGACTGATGTTCCACCATCAGTCGCCAAAGATGTATCTGCCAAAGATGAAAAACTGATGGGGTCATTTTGTAAATTTTAAAAATATAAGATAAATTTGTAAAATTAAAAACTAGCAAATTCTCATTTTCAATTGAAAAATTGGTGAGAACCAGTTTTTTAAATTTGAAAATGGAATTTCAAGTGAAAAAAGAAAAATTGGTAAGAATGGGATAACCAAACATTATTTTCAAAAAAAATTTGAAAAATAGGAAAAAATTTGTATGTCCAAACGGGCTCTTAAATAGGAAAAAAGTATTACAAATTATATGAGAGGTTTAAATGCTCTCAAGGGTGGAGCAAAAAATTATTTTTTAAATGACAACCGAAGTACGAGAGCTTTAGAACTCATATGCATTGGGTGCAGTATTTTCATCATTATTTGACACTTTTAAGTAGATCTTGAGAGCTGCAGAACTAATAAATTTTTTTTCAGGATTTATTATTTATTTACCCAATCCCTGGTTACCACAATGAGCTTTGTAACTCCTCATCAACTGTAAGGTCTATGACGAAGGTCAGGCTGATGAGGACGTGGTCAAGAAAGCGATTGGTATACTTTTAAGTTGATAAACTTTCGAAGAAAGAATAAATAATAATATTCACCCTTCGAGGTGGCCGAGTTGGTTGAGCAGGGAATTGCCCAAATGGGAGGTCTAGGGTTCGAAATTCACTTGCATACAGCCTTAGTCGAGCTCGTCGCAGGGGGGCCGTCTAGGGCGGTTTACTCTCATGTATGGTTTACAGGGCTATTAGACAGGAGTATGGTTTACCTTGTGCGAGCTTCAAGGATAGCGGCTGCTTTTTCCCTTGTTAATAAAAGAAATAATATTCTAGGCAAATCTTGCATCGAAAAGGAAGAGAAAAGTAACCTTCTATCCGATTTTCGCATTATCATCTTTATAATTTCACTCCAAACAAACTAAATGTAGTAGCATGGACAGGAACATACCATCTTCCCTTACAATTGTACTGCTAGAAACTATATAGAGAAGGACACTACTCCCTTCGGTCCACAATAGGTGACCAATTTGTTTTTAGCACGCCCATTAAGAAAATACTAAATTCTATACAAAAATACCTAGTATGACTAAATACCCTTAATTAAATATTTAATGTGAGGAGTAAGAAAACTTTTTAGGGATATGTACATAAGGTTAATTTTGTAAAAACAAATTAAATTCTTTCTTGATTATATAAATGAACACTTATTTTGGACCAAAATAAAAAAATAAATTGGTCACTTATTATGTACCGTAGGAAGTAAACATTACAGTATTTGCTAAATTTAATGCCAATTGGTAGGACAATTGGTACTTTGTACTGCATTGGGAGTAAACAAGAAGATAAGGTTAAGACTGAGAGAAGCAATTGTTGAGTGTTCCTATATATAATCCTTCAAATTGATTGATTTGTAATTTGGTTAGTTGGTTCATCAATTAAATATCCAACATTATATATTTAAAATCAATTCTTGAAATTTTATACTATAAAATTTAGTGCATTTTTATAGTAACCACTAAATCAGCCAGCATCAGCAGTCCATTTCCCTTGCCAAAAATCAAGCACAAGTAAAGGAGCAAGTGGGGAAATTAAAAATTTGTATTTAGTCTTGTTGTTGAAGCTAATCAACAAATGAACTTGACTATGATCCTCTAACTGCTAAATAATTAATATCAACTTGATTAGGTTACTTATAATGTTAGTATTTTCTCAAGATTACTCTAGGAAAATTAACATTTAAATATCTACCCTATAATTAGCTGCTACTCTTCTTGAACATATCCCACCTTGTCCTTTCTCCTCTCTGATTTGTATTAGTAGTAATTATGTAATTAGATAACAATAAAAAACTATATAGTTCTTAAATGTTGGGCAAAGATGTCAATGGAATATAATTATATTGTGCATAGAGGTCAAATAGGTATATTTTGCATATAAATATTAAATCTTCGCATCACGCGGAATTCCTGACTCTGCCACGGTTTAAGCTCTCGTTTGTTCATAAATTTTGGCTACTTTTTTTCAAAAAAATTTAAAAATATTGTTTATTCATGGAATATGATCAGTTTTTAAAAAAAGTTTCATGTTCCCAAAAAGTGGTTTAGAGCAGTTTTTGGGTGAAATTTTTTTTCTTCCTCTCACAAAACTTCAACTTTTTTTCAAATAAAATGCATGTCCAAACACGACTTCAACTTCCAAAATTTATTTTTCAACACAATTTCAAAAACTCTTTTTTTTTTAAAAAATTCTAACCAAATATATATCCATATGCTAGCTAAATAGTTGGAATGTAAACTTAGTATAGGTAGTACACCTAATTTTCATGGTACTGCAGGGGAACATAGATAAAAGTGACTTAAGGTTTTGACAAGAAGTTCCAAGTTCTGCAGCCTAAGGTCGTTGCAAAATTATAAATAAGTTAAAAATAAGAAGAAGAAAAAAAGAATAATTAATTAGTGAATTTTTAAGGTTTGTTGGGGTTTGTTTGGGAAACGAAAACGTAAAAAGTAAAAGGACGACTAATTAGTAGTTTTTAGTTTTTTAGGTTACGTAACTAAAGTAAAAGTTTAAACTTTAACCCAAACCCTTTACCTTTAACGAACGACGACGTACCTAACTTTAACTTTTTTAACCCTTTACCCTTTCGTTTTGGTTTTACCGTTAAACCTAAAGTTACGTACTTTACTTTTTAAAACGGTTAAAAAGGTAAGTTCGTACCACCAAACTTTTAAGTTTTACGTTTCCTTTCGTCCCCGTTACCCTTTAAGTTTTTAAACGTTTTAACGTAAGGAAAACGAACTTNGTCCGCTCAGGGCCTAGGCCCTCACGGGTTTAAAATGCGTCACTAGGGTCTAAGGCTTGTTAACTTATATACCCAGCATCCCTCTTGTGTTTTGCCGATGTGGGACTCTGTCAATAGTCTCGGGCCCCTCTTATGGACTCAGCGTCCTCGCTGAGGTTTGACCCACCGCATGGGATTCGCCTAGACTCAGCACTGAGGTTTGCCCCGCCTAACCGGGATTCGCCTAAACTCAGTTGAACTTTGATTTGACCCACCATCGGCAAGACTGACACAAGAGTGGCTCTGATACTATCTTTAACAGCCCAGCCCGCTAGTGATATTGTCCGCTCTGGGCCTAGGCCCTCACGGGTTTAAAACGCGTCAATAGGGTCTAAGGCTTGTTAACTTATATACCCAGTATCCCTCTTGTGTTTTGCCGATGTGAGACTATGTCAATAGTCTGGGGTGTTACACATTTGCTACATAAGTAAAATTGGTTGGAGGTTTAAAACTAACACATTCTTGGTAGATTGTATATAACGTTGGCAAGTCGAGTGGTTTCACCACCGGAGGTTTATGGTAGCGTGGTAAATCTTCCTTTATTCTTAATTACAGGTTTCGTATTCGAGCCATTCCTTAATTACAGGTTTCGTGTTCGATTAATTACAGGTTTCGTGTTCGAGGGATAGTCAGGAGTCTTCTTTAGTATGGAGCACTTTACATCCCAAAGTAGAACTTCCCGAGTTTAATATGAATTAGTCGGACTCCAATGCCAATACCGAATAGCGGATGAAAACTAAAAAAAATACTAAAATTGAGTGGTTCCAATGAGCACTTACAGCACAAGGCATCACTCACCTTTAGACACAGATACAAAATTGACCTAAGAAACTAAATCCGAACTCCAAACTTACTGTTTTTCTTAGAAAAATGAAAGAAATATATTTAATTGTTTGTTTTCCAAAAGGAAAGAAATCTATTTAATTGTTTGTTTTATTATTACCAGTTGTTTCTTTTGCTTCAATTTTCTTGTTATCCTGGTGTTGTCGGTAATATGTCGTTTTATTGTTTCCTTTCCATGGTTTGTACACTATTATTTTCTTTTCAACAAGTGATGTGACTATGCTTCTTCTGAGCCGAGAGTCTATCGGAAACAGCCTCTCTACCTTCACAATGTAGAAATAAGATTGCGTACATACTACCCTCCCCAAACCCTACTTGTGGGATTACACTATGTTTGTTGTTGTTGTTGTTTGTTTGTTTGTTTTCCGGAAGCAGTAAAATCTCATTAATGATGTACTTTCACAAGTATAATCCTAAGATCAAAGTACATTGGTGTAAATGCATTAATAATACATACATTGAGAATGAGATTATGATATATTTAGCTTGTAGTATGGTGAATACTAGAATTAGCAAGAGTTGATAGCTAATATGGAAAACGACTTATCACTAATACAGATTTCAAAATAGTACTCCCTCCGGTACAAAATAAGTGATTTTTTGGATGTTTTCACACAGATTAAGAAATCCACCTTTTAACATTAATTAGTAATAAAATTGACCATATTAACCTTTACTATCTCACATAAACACTCATAACACATATTCCAACACTATTTACTCCAAGGACAATGTAGGAAAAAAATAATTAATTCATTCTTGAAATCTGGAAAAATCACTTATTTTGGACCACAAGAAAAAGGCCAAAAAATCACTTATTTTGGACCGGAGGGAGTAATAGTTATCCTGCATTTAATATCTTAATTGCTATATAAGCTATCCTACTACTTATTGACATAATATTTTATTAAGAAACCTAAGATTGAACCCTAACACAGAGTGCAGTACAATCTTTTACTTTGCTCTTAGTATGTGTCCTAGTTTCACACACAAGCTCCTTCTTAAATGTTTGAGATCAAACAATATGTTGGGTAAAAGGGCAGCTCGATACACTAAGCTTTCGCTATGCACGAGGTCCGGGAAAGGGCCATATCACAAGAGTCTATTGTACGCAACGTTACCCTGCATTTTTGCAAGAGACTGTTTCACGGCTCCAACGCGTGACCTCCTGGTCACATGGCAGCAACTTTACCAATTACGCCAAGGCTCCCCTTCATCAAACAATATGTTGGGTGTGTGACAAAAAAGCTATAAAACCATCTTAAACAAACAAAGAGAATCTGGCATTTAAACCATAGATTATCTGAATAATTACGCTTCAGTCATACTAAACACTGTTCTAGTGCCTCAAACAATCAAATTATCTACTCTAATGCATTTCCATATAGACTTACCTCAAACGTTGTCTATGAAAAATGACTTCCGTCTTACCATACCCAGTGCGGTCCCACAGGTGAGGTCTCGGAAGGGCAGTTTGTACACAGTCCTTACCCCTATCTTGTGAAGGTAGAGAGGCTGCTTCCGATAGACCATCAGCTCAAGAAAAGTATGTAAGGCAGAGTTATAACGAGTCGGGAAAAAAATGAAAGGAGCAAGAAAATGATAGATTGATAGCAAATAGCAAACTGGTATCCCGTACAAACTAGAACAATACCATAAATCCATTTAGATAGTGAAAACAAATTACAGAAAGGAAGCATCTACTACATCTCTCGCGTTATTTTGTAGGTGCAAGGAGGGTGAAGTGAAACAAAAGCTTTGACACAGAATATAAATATATCAATAGGTAGACATTCCACGCGACCAAAACATGGTGGAACTAACAAAGAAGGCCGTTGTGCCTACTGAAAGATTCAGTCACCTGGCTTCATCTACTTCATTCTTTGCCATCAGCAGCACGTAGGGATCCCAATTGAACCGGAGCTTGTGTTCCCACAACTTTCGATGATCCATAAACAGACACATCGGCACCCTGCACCTTTTCTTTCTCGATTTGTTCCTTGATCCAGAAATATGTAATTCTCAAGCCATCCTGAATCATTTGGAACACAGACATTAGAAGTGCACCACCTATACAATAACAAACTCTCAAACAAACACCAAAGGATGCTCAAAATGATCTAAGCTGATACCTTCAATTTCATACTAGGCGCCCAACCAAGCTTTTCCTTGATTAGAGTATTGTCGGAGTTTCGACCACGCACACCCTCTGGTCCGGGGATGTGATGAATAGGAAGCTTCTTGTCCTCAAAGCTGAGGACCATCTCGGCCATCTCATTCATACTTACCATCTCATCGCTTCCGATGTTCACAGGCTCTCTGAAGTCCGATTTTGTTAACCTAAATATGAATAAATTTGTTTGTATCTTTTACCAAGATTTCTGAGATAATCAAAAGAGTGTTCTCAATTAAAACTCTGGTCGAGAAATGTTATTATGCTTAGAGCTCCACATACCTCAGAACGCCTTCAACACATTCATCAATGAAGGTGAAAGATCGAGTTTGCTTTCCATCTCCCCACATCTCGAATTTATCAGTGGAAGTTTGAGCTTTTCTACAAAAAGCTGCTGGTGCTTTCTCGCGTCCACCTGTAGTTTTAAACAAAAAAGTTGATGATTTCATGAAAAAATCAATGGCAATGCAGCGACATGTAATTTGCTTGAGTGAGAATACCTTTCCATGTTCCAAATGGGCCATAAATGTTATGGAAACGTCCAATGCGACACTCAATTCCGAAGTCCTTGTTGTAATGCTTACATAACTCCTCTGTTGCCAGTTTTTCTAAGCCATAAGCATCTTGAGGCTAATACAAAAATAAAAACTGTCATTATGATGCAAATGATCATATCCCAAATACAGCAAAGGTTTATGGAATTAAGGCAAAAACCTCCGCAGGCCAAGCATCAGACTCCTTTAAGCTCACGTTAGTTTCCAACTGCTTAAATTCAGGGTAGATACAAGCACTCGACGCATAAAAGAACCTGGAACCAACATTTAAAAGGTTAATGTCTGGAACTAGTACTGTCTCTTAGCTACTATACAAATAAACAAAGGGGACGAATATGGAAAATCAGAAGCAGCTACAAAGCAGAAAAGATCTCTATGGTGGTATTCATGACAGAATAAATATACTTGATATATAGTATTAAGAGATCAAAATCTAGAGGAATCAACAGCATGAAAAATGAGCTCCCGAACCAGATCTTTTAGTCTATTACCGTAAAGTCCATAACCTTGAGTCAGGTTCAAATCCTGTCTCCGCAACATCTTGGTTTCCTCATAAAGGACTTTTAATGCTCTTAGAGAGACTTGTAATGACAATTATCTTTATTTTACTATATATGAGAAAAAGTTTACGGATGTACAAAATTTGGTAGTAAATGCAGAAGGAAGAGATAGAACCGACTGAAGGAAGGGAGTGCGACAAATAGAAACAACTTCGTCATCTTTCTGCACATAAAATCTAGCATAACAAATTGATATGTATAGACTCGACCATCTATCTACAAGGAAATTACAGCAGTAGTAACCTACACCCAAAATTATGAATAACTATCTATATCTGTGTGTGTTTATAAATTTTATTATTTTCTTTTACAATCAGGTCATTGGGGCCAGTATGTTGCAGCGGAGGTTTTTAAAGCATCGAAGTTAGACACAACATTATCTCCGCATCTTCCCACCAATCTAAGGTAAGTACTTCATCGTTTTAGAATTGGAATGCCAGACGATGGTTAGCCAAAAATAGTGTTGCAAGTGAAATATCCATAAGTTCTGTGTAACCCTTTCATCATAAAAATAAAAGAGATATGCAAATAAAACCACTAGCCCATGAATACTGCATAGGTTTCTTGCATAGAACAGTAGTCTGCCACTAAACACTAAACAATGCTTAGAAAGCAGCAGAGATTGGCTAACCTCTTAACACCAGTGATTCGTGAAGCCTCCATCATGTTAAAGCTGATCATAGTGTTGTTATACATGATAACCGAGTGGTTGGACTGAATGAAGCCCATACCTCCCATATCGGCAGCGAGATTGAACACATGATCAACTCCTTTTGTGACTTTCAAACAGTTATCCATAACTCTGAGATCAACAAGATGGAACTCGTGACAGAACATGTCCTCAGACATATGCTCATTCTTCTTCCAGTCGGAAGCAATAATGTAATGCCCCTCGGTCTTCAGACGCCTTGCGATGTGTGAGGCAATGAATCCACCAGCTCCAGTAATAGAAATTCGGAGCTTCTCTGAAGGCCAGTAGGGTTCCCTCTCAAGGTTTTCATATGTGTATTCTCCATAACTGGTTCCACCGGAACTTCCCATTCTGTGCATACCAAAATCAAACGGAAAATGTGAGAAATCCTAGGCCAAATAGAAGCAAAGCACGAGTCTAGAATCAAAATACTCGTAGACAAAAGGGACATCATAAGAGAAGTGAATCTCCATATGGTTAATACAGAAACAACAAGTCTAAAGACAAACATTCAGGTGGATGAAGGACAAACTCTAGGAGTAAAACACAGAACTGAACATCAAGAATGAATTTTTACCTGAATATACTAAGAACTAAATAAATAAAAATGAAGTTAAAAGAAAAGGGAAAAGGGTCAAATTTGCTATTCGAAACTGATCAATTTCGCCATCAATTAGACTTTTGGACTAATCTTACCCCGCCATTAGGAAAAAATCTCGTTTTTTGACCTCGACCCCTAATGAAGCTCCAACCTAAGGTTAATGTCGAAACATAGTCAAAAGTTGAGAGGTAATTTTGGATCTTTTTCGCGAAGAATTTGAACACGCAGAGTCCACTATTTCACGTTGAAGCTCCACTAATGACAAATGGCAACACTAATATGATTTGCTAACGGCAAGGGCATGAATAGACTTTAAAAGTCTAATGGAGGGAAAAATTGAGTCATTATTAGGAGTACAGACCAAATTTAAACCTTCTCCACACTTAAAAAAGAGGAGAGAAACCACTCCATCTCAGACAAGACCAAAACTAAAAGATTCATTTTTTGACAAAGAAAACTAAAAGATTCACTTGACAAAGGCATGCTATTATCACAGCATTAAGATATATTTGCAGAAAAAACATGGGACACTACTCAATAAACAAAACTAAAAACTACTAACTCAGTTCAGAACATCAATAAATTAAGCATTAAACTTAACAAGAAATCCACATAAAAACACCCAACTTAAACAGAAAATCATATTGAAACATGCAGCTAATATGCAGAAAATCAAGAAAACAAAAATAACCAAAAAAGACAAAGTTTTTATTTTTCACACCCAAAAAAGAGAAAAGAACAAAAAACTCACACTAAAACCTCAAAATCTAAAAGATGAAAAGCAAATTACATTAATGACCACTCAAAACCCCAGATATTAAAATTACAGATTCAAAGAGAAAACAAATCCAAAGTAAAATTTCAAACACAGAAAAACAGAGAAATGCCAAATACCTTGAAGAAATTGGACCTGTGTTGAAGGAGATGGCAAAGCTCAATGATAAGGGGCTATATTTTTTTTGTGTAACAGATCTCTGATTTATAGCCAATATAATATAAATACAAATATAGTTAGTCAATAATTTCCAAGTTGCAGGGGGATTTCTTGGTTTAAGATTAAAATAGTAAGCATATAATTATGTGGACAGAATAGTGTTGTCTCTGATCTGGAATTTATAACACAGAAATATAGAGTCGGTTTAAAGTATAAACTATCAACTTCGTAATCCATTTTCATTGGTCTATAATTATCCTAGGCCTTAAAAAATGAAAACTTTCCATCATCACATATGGGTTCAAAATAATATTATTTTTATTAATTATTTGAGTTATTAGGTTCGAGTTTAAAATATATTTGTATAATTTAGTGAATCTTTTAATATATATATATATGTCCGAGCCAAAAGCTACTGAATCCCATTAAACTCTGTCTCATATATATATACCACTCACTTTTACTCGTTCTTTTTGGTTTGTTAAGTAAAAAGTGAAACCTAATTTTAAACTTAATTAAGTGTTGATTCTTTATTTTTAAAATAATACAGTATTATATATTTAAACTATTACATAAAGATATAAGTAATAAGCAAAGAAAAAAATATATACTCTCCAAGTAATAATGGGGAAAAAATAAATGAAAGAGGTGGAGTAGATTGAAGTATTTTTAGTTCGAATAATTTAATTTAACCAATACGCATCTTTGACAACTATATATTCTCGTACGTACCTACATGACCACAATCTTTCAAAATAATAAGAAACACATTATATAAAATATCATTGGTGTTTTGGTAAACAATTCTTGTAAATTAGTAAAAGTTGTGACGTCAAATATTCTAAATCATCATAAAAGAAAATTAAATTATTATATAAGATTATATCAATTAACTAATTTTTATGTCTCAAATATTCACTTAGGTTTCTTAATTTATATTTGCATAAAAATGTTTTACAAATCACGCTTTTTATAACTAAAAGCATTACATCAAAAAACTGCAAAAAAAAAAAAAAAAAAAAAAAAAAAAAAAAAAAAAAAAAAAAAAAAACATTACTGACGATAACATGTGAACTTGGGACAAAATAAACAAACCCATTCTGTACTTGAGAAATATTAAATTATACAAATAACTTTGATTGGCTTCATGAATTGCGAATGATATTTAAACTCTTATGATCTGTCGACTTTGCATCAGATATTCTAAGATGCATTTTAATAAGAATATTAAACAACATTTTTTTGCATGATAATTGATCAATTAGTTTTTGATTTTTGTTTTTGTTTTTTCTGTTCTTTTTTATATATTTGTATTTCATTCATTTTGTCGTATGGAATAAAGGAATCATGATTTGATTCCTCCAATAATTGGAGACAGAACGCATGGACTACTACTCATCGTTTAACTTTTGAAAAATAATTCAGAAAGTGTACGTTTGAAAGGAACATAACAAAATAAATACAATGAATAACAAAAAGAATTGCTATCATGTGTATTGGTCAGAATCCGACCACACGACCACAGCATCAAGGACCCCGTCCCGACCATCCTGCAGCAGCAGTCAGCAAATTCGACATCGCCTAATGGCTGCTATTTATGACATAAGTGTCGAGGTCGAGCGCCCCCCCCCCCCCATGAGGTCTTTCCTTCGACCCGGCCCAAACAAGATGTGACCAGCATGAGGAGTTTTGTGCTATAATAGAAGGAAGAAGAACCGCTTAGGGGGGGGGGGGGGAGGGGGGGCAGGCCGAGTTTCTATAATCAATAAAAATCTTCCAGGTGTCATTTTAATTGATTCTTCTATCTGTATGATTATGTTCTTCGATCCAGTATCAATTAATGTTGACTACGATTTACCCCTTCATCTACATTGATTGATTTACTTAGAAAGTATTAACTTACTTTTGCGTCAAACAATTTGGCGCCGTCTGTGGGGATTTCCTAGTGAAAATATTTAGTTCTTCCTGGATCGAAGAAAAAGGAACACCAAGAACAAATTCGGCTCAAACCAGAGTCAATGGAAGCGCATCAACCAAAAAAAAAGGAGAAGAATCGAACGCCCCAACATGAGCCAGAAATCTTCCGCCCTGTTGGCCTCAAACAGCCCGAGCGAGGAAAGAAGTGAAGCAAAGCGCTCCCCCTTTTCCTCCCGAGCGCCAGGCAAAAGAATGGAGCACCCCCCTCATCCACCATACTGTATCGGGCCGGAAACCAGCGCAGAGGCGTTTTAAAAGAGGAACCGAAAATCGCTTCGAAGCAACCTGAGTGCCACGGTCAAGCGAACAATCATAGCACGGGCACAACATACACCCACAGGCCGAAACGAAGCCAACACTTAACGCCCAAGGCATCGAACCATCGATGAAACGAACTGAGACTCAGGCTAAGTGCCTTCGCCATCAAAACTCGATAGTTCGACCTCGCTCGAACTGGGACTTAGGCTAAGTGCCTTCGCCATCAAAACTCGACAGTTCGACCTCGCTCGAACTGGGACTCAGGCTAAGTGCCTTCGCCATCAAAACTCGACAGTTCGACCATGCTCGAACTGGGACTCAGGCTAAGTGCCCTCACCATCAAAACTCGACAGTTCGACCTCGTTCGAACTGAGACTCAGGCTAAGTGCCTTCTGCCGTCAAAACTGCGACAGTCGACCTCGCTCGAACGTGGACTCAGGCTAAGTGCCTTCGCCATCAAACCTCGACAGTTGCGACCTCGTTCGAACTGAGACTCAGGCTAAGTGCCTTCCCGTCAAAACTCGACAGTTCGACCCTCGCTCAACTGTGGACTCAGGCTAAGTGCATTCGCCATCAAAACTCGACAGTTCGACCTCGCTCGAACTGGGACTTCGGCTAAGTGCCTTCGCCATCAAAACCCGACAGTTCGACCTCGTTCGAACTGAGACTCAGGCTAAGTGCCTTCGCCGTCAAAACTCGACAGTTCGACCTCGCTCGAACTGGGACTCAGGCTAAGTGCCTTCGCCCCAATCAAAACTCGACAGTTCGACCTCTTCGTTCGAACTAGAGACTCAGGCTAAGTGCCTTCCCATCAAAAACTCGACAGTTCGACCTCGTTCGAACTGAGACTCAGATAAGTGCCTTCGCCGTCAAAACTCGACAGTTCGACCTCGCTCGAACTGGGACTCAGGCTAAGTGCCTTCGCCATCAAAACTCGACAGTTCAACCTCGTTCGAACTGAGACTCGGGCTGTGCCTTCGCCATCAAAACTCGACAGTTCGACCTCGCTCGAACTGAGACTCAGGCTAAGTGCCTTCGCCGTCAAAACTCGACAGTTCGACCTCGCTCGAACTGGGACTCAGGCTAAGTGCATTCGCCATCAAAACTCGACAGTTCGACCTCGCTCGAACTCGGACTCAGGCTAAGTGCCTTCGCCATCAAAACTCGACAGTTCGACCTCGTTTGAACTGAGACTCAGGCTAAGTTCCTTCGCCATCAAAAATCGACAGTTCGACCTCGTTCGAACTGAGACTCAGGCTAAGTGCCTTCGCCGGCAAAACTCGACAGTTCGACCTCGCTCGAACTGGGACTCAGGCTAAGTGCCTTCGCCATCAAAACTCGACAGTTCGACCTTGTTCGAACTGAGACTCAGGCTAAGTGCCTTCGCCATAAAAACTCGACAGTTCAACCTCGTTCGAACTGAGACTCNAAATTAATTTATTCAAGATAAAACTATCCTCACTAAATTTATATTTTCCAAATGATCCCTTATTGATTTTTTCTTTTCTTTTTTGTTCCTAGTTTTTACCATTCTTTTGAATTTAAAGATATCATATACATGAATTATATTGTAACTGTCCAAATTCTTTATTGACTTATCTTGTTTGACTTTTTCTTTGTGTAATGTCTTGTAACTTTCCAAATTGTCTTCTTCTTTTTCCACACTAAAGCAAATTATCTATATCCTTCTTTGGATTATCAATTCTCTTCTACAAATAATCATTTATAATTTCTTCTCTTATAGGCTATTAATTCCCGAATCCTTAAAATAATTATTGTCATGACCCCAAATTCCCACCTTAGGATGTCGTGATGGCACCTAGTCTTTAAGACTAGGTAAGCCTAACATATATTGAAAGATAGCAGAAACAATAACTTAAACATCAAATTAAACTATCATAATGAACCCCAATAGATACAACTAACAAATAACTCCCAAAATCTTGTGGAATTGAGTCATAAGAGCTCTACAAAGAGTGCACTAATGTTCTTGAAATACTATATTGTTTGAACAGAAAAATAAACGGTAGAACATCTAACAGCATAATGTGATTTCGAGGCCTGCGAACGTCGAGCAGATGTACCTTGAAGTCTCCGAAGAATAGCTAATAAATCACTGGCGTCCGACACGAGCTGAAATACCTGGATCTGCACAAAAACGTGAAGAGGCGTAGTATGAGAACACCACAACGGTACCTAGTAAGTATCAAGCCTAACCTCGGTAGAGTAGTGACGAGGCTAGGTCAAGACACCTACTAGGATAAGAAAATCGAACAAAATATTGCATAATCTAATAATGGAAAGCGAGGAAACAAATGATGGTAAGTAGTTCAATAATGTAACCTAACAACGGAAATTTAAGCGGCATAGAAAACAAGGAGTGAACACATAAGGAAACAATGAGTAGACAAATACGGATAAATTCAAGTAAAACAGTGAAGAAAAAACAAGAACTATTTAACCAACGAGCCTTTTTAACATGGAATGTACAACAAGAATCACAACTGAGGTGCTACGCCTCATATTCACATTTCACAATATCAATCATAATCTTTGCTTATATCACTGCGTGAGCCTTGCATTTATTTTTGAAAATTATTTTTCCCTAAATAGCTATACACGTTTTAGCCCCCTTATCTCACCGCGTGACTTCAAGTAATTCCCTTACTAGCAACACGCGTATCAAGCCCACCTTATCTCACCGCATGTGTATCAACCCCTATCCTTATACCACCGCATGCATATCACTATCACAACACAATAACAACTCGCACCACAAGTGTCCATATGCCATAACTTGCCGAATCAACAATACCAATATTTTCACAACAATTAGCCCACTACTCAATCACAATGTGTATAAGAATCTCAATAATGACAAAATGAATAAGAAATGCTAAACATTGAAAGATATCTCAAAAATCAACAACTTC